TGTAAATTAGTTTGCCTGGCCGTTCGCCAGCGCTGCCTCATCCTCCAGCCATTGATAAGACATGAACGCATGTCTGAAGCATGCTTTTAATTGAGCCCTGCTCGCGCTACAGTAGCTGTCAGGTGGCAGTGAGGAACAGTAATGAGGCAGCTCTCTCCTAAATCAGAGCAACCTCCAAAACAAGCTAACTGTAATAGCAAAACTTCCAGCAGTACGTTAGCAGCTTTCTCTGACCCGGCACAGTTGTTCAACAGTGAGAAACGTCAGGGTGTTTCTGAGCTTAATGCTCGACAGCCGTTCTGTAGAGAGCTGTTTTTTTTCCTCTGAGTATTTTAGAAACAGTACTGAGTCTGACTATACAAACCATTTCTATAGTAGCAAGCAAGGGAAAAAAGGTCACAACAAGAGAGCCTGTCAAAACGCAGCGCATATAAAACACTCACTGTAAGTGGTCTGTTGACTGTAGCATGCTTGTGCAGCATATGGTGTCCTCATTTAGGTGAGATTGAGTTTCTGGGGATGGCGTGGTGTAGTGGATGTTCATCTGGGCTGGTTAACCAGACGGTTGCTGGTTTGATCGCCGCAAGGAGGGATCTGTGAGTGATTGTGGCCCTGAGCAAGACACTGATCCTCAGGTTGCTGCAGCGGGTTTGTCTCTATAAGTAATGCGCTTTGAGTGACTTACGATGAAAGCATCAGCTAAATTAATACTTCTGTTTCAGTTTTGCAGGATTTTTCTTTTCACTCACGTTTGAGAAGATGAAACCAGAGTCCAAGTGTCATGATGTCCCAGAGATTCAGTCCAGTTGACAGAATTGTAGCTCGTCAGACATAAAGATTTAGTTTGTAGCGTTTAAAACTTCAGGGTAATGAAAAGCTGTAATTTTTCCCTTTAATTTGTATGACTGATATTGATGCAGATTATTTTTAAGAATATTTCATTTTTTTTATTTACTATGAGTAAATGATCATTACACTACAAGAATACAGATATTATATGTGTTTGCACATTATATAATTGAATATTCAATTATTATTATTAAAATGTTCATAATGTGCATTTTTTGTATTTATGTATTTTAATGATCATTTAAAAGCAGAAAAAAATGTAATTGTAATTAGGGTTGTGCGATGTCTACCAATTTGGTAGACATTGGAAATGTATTTAAATTTTGTGTTGGGTTAAGTCTTATGTAAAGCCACACATTTCACACTGAGAATAAATGGATGTTGTTAAAAAAGTTGAATAATAAACTAAACAACAGATTTAAAAAGTTACATTACCCCAAGAATACTGTTATTATTGGATGCTTTTGTAAGTGTAATTTATTTTCAAATTACCATTTAATAAAAAAATATGTATTTTTCGGATGCCTTTAAAAAAATTCTGCAGAATAAAAAAAAATGACTGTTGAGCTCTGGAAGCTTCCTTTTTCTCCTTCATGTTCTATGACTCTGTCTCTTTCATGCACACATTCCCTGTAACTCTGTTCGATCCAGCTCACTCCTGAAATTTTTTTTTTTTGTCCCCTCTCTTTCTCTAGCCTTCTGCTCTGGCATCGATAGCATGCTGGATGATATGGTCAGCCTGCTGAGGACTGATAATGCAGGCTTACACACACACACACACACACACACTCACATCCCACACCTGCACAAGAAAATGCACAATGCAATCTCTCAGGATGAGCCCTGGTCCTAATCTGTCTCCATAGCAACAGGGTCCGGGTAGGACTCCCCCAGTTGGCCTTGAGCGTGCCACTATAGGGATCCTACCTCATGAGAGCGAGCAAGGGATTGTGATTAGCTATCAGCGTGATCATCAGATAAAAAAAATACAGCTAATTGCTTCTCAGAGAGCAAGTATTGAGCAACTGACATGGCTGTGATAAGCTTATAGAAGCAGAAGGAGACTCTAGCTGGGGGCCGATGTGACACTCAGACCTCAAGCTGAGTGGTTTAAGTCTGGGTTAAGAAACCGAGTCATTGTACTTCTTAGTGTGGTACTAATGGAAAGAGGGAGGCTGTTTTATTTACTGAGCTCGAGCCAAGAATGATTTTCCTCTGCCTCATTGACTACAATTAGGAACAACCTTCAGAGTAGATGCATTTCAGTTTTGGCTGTTTGTAATGGGTTATATATCAAACCACTCTTCACATTTACTTTACATGAGGATTTATGTAACCATATTCATGTACAGTGGACTTTAGTGCTCCAAGGTACTCCAGAGAATGCCATAGTATTTCCATGTTATCATGTCAACCAGAATAGGCTTCTCAATAGCTAATGCTAATATCTACTGTGTAAATGTCAAATAAGCAAAAGGTACACATATAAATAACTACAAAGGAATGGTTCATATTAAATGAATATACACTACCATTCAAAAGTTTTTTTTTAGCAAGGATGCACTAAATTGATCAAAAGTGACATTAAAGGGGTCATATGATGCGATTTAAATTTTTCCTTTCTCTTTGAAGTGTTACAAGCTCTTGGTGCATAAAGAAGATCTGTAAAGTTGCAAAGACTAAAGTCTCAAATCCAAAGAGATGTTCTTTATAAAAGTTAACCAATAATGTACAGTATGTGGAAAATAATGTGTTTTTTTAACCTTAAACCGCATAAACACATTTCATTACACCAAATACACAAAATAATGTTCTTTTTAGCAACATCATATGACCCTTTAAAGGCATTTATGATGTTACAGAAGATTTCTATTTCAAATGAATTGTGTTCTTTTCAACTTTGTATTTATCAAATAATCCTGGACAAAGAAAAATCAAAAAAAAAATTATTAAGCAGCAGAACTTTTTTCAACATTGATAATAAGAACGTTACCAAATCAGCATATTAGAATGATATTGAAATACATTAGTATATAAGATATATTAGCGTTTAAAATATATTAAAATAGAAAACAGTTCATTTAAATTTAACTTAATTTTGGGGTAAGATTTTATTTATTTATTTATTTTTTAAGAAATTAACACTTATGCAGAAAGGATCCACTGAATTGATCAAAAGTGACATTAAAGAGATGTATAATGTTACACATGAAAGGTGTTCTTTTGAACTTTATGTTCATCAAAGAATCCTGAAAAAATTATCACAATATCAGTTGTGATAGTAATTGACAATAGAATTGTTTGCTGTAGTTATTAATTTCAGTACATTTAATTATTTATTGATCATTGGTGTCTTTTTGCATTTTATATAGACAAAAATTAACTTATTCATTACAGTGTATAAGGGGGTTTTAGGCACTATGCATTGTCCAACAACACCTTTAACTGTGGTAAAATCAGTGGTGAGTCAGCCTTGTCATGCTTTAATATATGTATGTAACTGTACACAAGACGTCTATCACTTGTGTATGTTTTGGTGATGTACAGCACAAAAATAGGATGGTATAACACTCCGGATGAGCCATTGTCCCTGTTGAGGTTAACGACTTTAGCACAGGTGCGAGTCGGCTAATGAGGGGAGGGTATTACAACTGTTTCACAATCAAACCCACTTCATGGTGTGTTGAAACCATTCAAAACAAGCCAAACACCTCACAGCTGAAACTTCAGGATGAATGCTTAGTTCCGATTATCCTTTTTCTAAAAAATAATTAGACTTTTTTTTTGTTCCAAAACCATCTGTTCATGATGTCCACATATCTACTGTGTTGGAGCTGGTTTCTTGGATGAGAGATTCTAAGTCGTGAGCATATCCCTGTTATAAATCTGTCGTTTTTAGCGAGGTGTGTTATTACCAGACATCTACTGCTGTGTTTGTCTGAGCTGCCTGCCACCACACAAGGAATAAATCTTATTAAACTAGTAAAAATGAGCCCAGTGATGTTTAATGAGCACCCTTGCTGATGGAAAAAGCAATTTTTTGTCTCTTAAAGATACTGCCTTATCTGCCCCCTCTCACTCTTTCTCCATTTCTCTCTTATATTGAAGCATCTGGGCCTCTGAGAGAATTGAAGTTAGGATAAATATTGATAGAAGCTAAAAGTCACTTAGTATTAAGGTATTTTCCTTACTTTTTTAGCATTGATGTCGTGAAATAATATTTCACTCGTTAAATCTAGAGCTTTTCTTGAGAGGTGTTTCTGTTTGCATCCAAAGGCGTTCATCACTGTTTACAGACGTGGTTGTGCAGTGAATGCGACATTTCGTAATATGCATCCTTTAATCATTTTGGTAATGCTTTTGTAGTGCACATCCACGGGCATTGTGCTGAAAAGGCAGTAGATTTGTGACAGTAGTTCACACCTTTGGATTATTGGGCCAAATCTCAGGTATTACAGGATTACATGGGATTATTGTCACACTGGATTATTAGTTCAGACACCACATGGTGTTGTGGTGTTACATGGCATCCCATTCAGTGTAAATATAGACCTAATTAGACATTTTTATGAATTACTTTTCTTATTCATTTTTTTTTCAATATTATAACTATGGATAATATTAAAAAGTCCTACGGAAGTTCTAAGCGGCCATGCATTATTGTCCATATTTTCTGCAGAAAATTAGTAACTTTATGATGGAGATTTATTTAGGCGAGCCGCCAGCGCATAACGTTACACCATGATATTCGCCAGAAGCATTCACAAGGCGCGGGGTTATCTCGCGATAGCTACTTAATTACGTCGTGAGAAAACGGGGTTTACGTTGAGATCACGAGAAAACAACTTTCGTTATGTCGATATAACGAGAAAATAAGTCGTTATTAAGAAAAAACAAATTTCGTTATGTCGAAATCACGAAAAAAATAAGTCGTTATAACGAGAAAACAACTCTCGTTATGTCGATATAACGAGAAAATAAGTCGTTATAACGAGAAAACAAGAAGGAAAAAAATAAATAATTCATGGCCGCTTAGAACATCCGTAAAAAGTCAGAATAATGAATTGTAGTTACTTTTTTTTGTTTGTTTTCTTTCATTGTCCTTATAGCAGTTGTAAAGCTGTTGTTATTTTTTTTCTGTTGTGTTTCAGCTTGGCGAGGACACCTTCAATCGGGCCAAGCTTCTAAATGTTGGCTACACGGAGGCTCTTAAAGACGCAGAACACGACTGCTTCATTTTCAGTGACATAGACCTGATCCCTATGGATGACCGGAACCTGTACCACTGTTACGACCAGCCCCGTCACTTTGCCATTGCCATGGACAAATTCGGCTTCAGGTAACATTAAATATTTAGGGAAGCACAAAGTGCAGGAGTCTGCTGACACATTATATTTGATATATCATTTTATCTGACTTTTATAATTCTAGTCCCTTTTGATACATAAATAATCAGAAGCCTCATATAAAGGCTGAAAATGCAATAAACTGAAATCAGTGGCGTGTTTTATATGAATTTAATATCCTTGTAGAATTGTGGCCTTGCCAGATTTTATTACAAATATGCTGGGCTGCATTTGTTGCTATTTACATACATATTAATAGATGCCATGTCTGTATTTGTCTTTATTTCTTTGCAGAGAACAGAGTCAGTTAATCAAACAGCCAGAGCTTGAGGGCTGTCTGTCAAAGCCTGTGCTTCTGATGATTAATTGCTTTTTTCCACTAGGGAAGATATATGTCTTATGATGCTTTGTCATCTGGAGCTCTAGAATACAGCTGAATTATTATGTATCAAAAGTTAATTTGTTAGGTGCTGTGCCAGTCTAGACAGACCTGGAGCCTTGACAAGCATATGTATTCATTTTCCAAGGCAGACAATTATTTAGCGGAGACAGACCGGTTGTCTTCAAGTGTAATAGCTGGAGATATTAAAACACTGGTGAAGATTCGCTGTATTATGTTTTTTTTCCCCCTCTTTTTTTCCGAACCTGAAATGAATTTTGTCTGTCTTCTGTTGGCAAGCAGACAAGTTGGCCTTTGCTCCATGGTGTTTAATTTCCTGTCTTTGTGTGAGGGGCGAAAGGACCAAGACAATCTTAACTCTGTGCCATCCTCAAGGAATTTGTTAAAATCAGCCTCTATCTTAAGATGTATGCTATGTTGGGAAGTTATTCCAAAAGATAATTGTTTACTAATCAGTTGGTATGTGTAACACATTTAATGATAGTTACTGTAATATGATTATTATAGTTATGATTATTATTATTTATATGTTTTTATTGTATTAGTAGTAGTTGTAATAGTGTTATTTTATAATAAATGTATTATTATATTATATATTTTTATTACTACTAGTAGTAGTGTTTTTGAACAGTTATTCAATTTGGTTTTATTTCTCTGCGGATGGCCAGACAATACGTTGTTAAACAAATGCCACTGACCTTCTCCAGAGCATGAACTGCCTTTAACTGTCAGTGGGCTAATAATTCAGTTTCCTCTGTGAGTCATCTATTGGCGTGCATCTTCAGTCTGAGGAGGCCTTAACGTTGGTTTAATAAATGGAGCACCTTTAGAGAATTACATGCGCTCAGACCGTGAGCGTGCGAGGAAACTTCAGCCATACTGTTTCTGTGAAGACTGCTGCTGTAGCAGATGGCCTCATTAATTTTAGCTTGTTGTCTTTTAACGTGTGGTTGCAGCGTGCACGAGCGCTTGTTTGTGGATGCGTGTTTGTGTGTGTGTGTGGATGCGTGTTTGTGTGTGTGTGCGCGTTCGTGTAGGTTTTTGCTTCTCTTTCTCCCTTATGTCACACATTTGTTTGCGTGCGTGGATGTGGTTGCTGTCATTGGCATCATACACCACAGTAGCCCAAGGCGAACCCCGGGCGGCTACCCATGATGCACCTGCCAGCCCACAACCCAGAGGACACACATAAACCATGTTTTCAACTAAGTGGACTCAATGCTTTTCCAGACTGTATTCATCCAGTAGAGCATTTGTTTGAAGGCTTCAAACACTTGCTTGTGATATAATCGCTCTGTGGTTTAAATGTCAAATATATGACTTAGTTCTTCTGAGAACCACCAAGGCCTTTTAATTCATCCTTTGACCTGCAATGGAGTATGTATATTTATATCAGCCTTTAATCCTGTAGACGATGATTCCTCAGATAATTCTCATCTGACAGTGGCCTCCTGAACCGTGAGCTGTATTTCTATGATGAGAAACGGATTCTAAAGTTTATGGTGCACTTAAGCTTTTACAGGGCGTCCTTAGAGTTATGTAGCTCAACCGAGGGGCCTGAGGGGTGGCAACCAGGAGAGAAGTGATGAAAGAGAGTTGGGAGAAGGATCAGATAGCATTTGAAAATGTTGGATACCCTGTGTGAGGACTCTGTGGCTCTCTAGAATCACTCATACGAGATGCAATTTTGTTAAATTCGAATGCTTGAGTTGACTGACTAAAGGGCTCAGTTCAGAGAGGGCCTACAGAAAGGATATTTCACTGTAGACTTGAATCAGAAAGAAAATCTAATGGGAATCCAAAGCCTTTAGCCCTACATTCCAAATGGACAAAAGGCATGAACAGACAATTTAAGGTAATATTACTGGAGAAAATGTTATTGATGATTATAAGGTCTTATGCACTCAGATTTAAGACTTTATTCTAATATGTGTAATAACTGAACAATAATGACCTAGGTCCGTTCCCTCTTGCAGGCTGCCCTATGCGGGGTACTTTGGAGGGGTGTCCGGCCTTAGCAAAAAACAGTTCCTCAAAATCAATGGCTTCCCTAATGAGTACTGGGGTTGGGGAGGTGAAGATGACGACATTTACAACAGGTAAGACCATTAATATGCTGTCTTTCTCTTTTATACGTGCCCGAGGTCTGGTCCTTTAAAGTTGGGATAAAACAGAAGTAGTGTAGGATCTTTTCTTCTGTATTGTGACATACATCTGAGTGTAACGGATTATCGAAAAATTTAATATATAGGGCGGTGATGTGGGAGTTGCACTCAAAGCCTAAGGAAAATTAATGTGAGCTTGAAGTCTGGCTTACAACACCAGAGAGAAGTCTGTCGTATCACCTGAAAATCAAGTCAATTTGACTAAAGATTATGAGGTCTAATAATATGTAAAAAATAAAACACATGCATTGATGATTGTTTGCAATAAGATCAGTAACGTGCATTTATAAAATAGATAGGTTAATTTTTATTTCATGTTGACTTTAAATTAGTGGTTCCATATTGGTGTCTGGAGAGTTTGAGGGAAATTTACAAATGTATTTATTTAAATTAATTATATTTATTGTTATCTGAGAGATTTACTGTAGTTAAAGTGGTCCCTCACATAATAATTGTCATGTTTGAGTCTCATTGACATGAAAAAGCTTGAAAACCTCTACTTAATCATTTTATAGTTACCGGTTCAGCTTAATAGTTTTTTTAACATGATGTCAAGATATTTTTTTGACCAAACGAAAAAAGGTTACTGTATATGGTTATCACACTGTGTTTTAATAAAGTCTTTTGTATGTTGCTATGGACTCATTTGGTAAGGTATGTTAAAATGTATTCAGCACTTCTCCCACCAAAACATTGTCACTTCAGTTGTTCGGGTGGTTAATAAAATACAGCACCACAGTTTGAGGGAAATGGGCAGCAAAGGAGAGGCTATTAAAAGGGAAAAAGTCTTCAAAGGTTTTATTTAAATTATGTATTAGTCTAAGCTCTTTGCTTAAGATTAAAAGAAAGTAGTAAAAGTAGGTTATAATGTAAATGTTACTTTGACTAGTGGTTCTTTCTGGTGGTTCTAGAACAGTTCATTTTAAAGATGACTGATATGCTGACAAATGGAAGTTAACCATGAAATGCACATATTTTGAGTTATTTATGATTGGCGTAATTGTTATGTCAAAAATGTGTCACTGTGATCCTTGATAATAGATTGCACATTTCTAATCTACTTATTCAAATGTCATTTGTGACACATTAACAGCTTTGGTGAAAAATCTGAATATTCAAATACATATAAGAGAATATATGGTTCTTTATTTCTCTTGACTTAAATGAATCATATCGGTAGAAGTTTTTAGATGGCTACCCTGTGCAGTGTTTGTAAAAGTTTGACCGACTTTCTGGGATGTCATTTTGCTTTGAGGTCTGGTAGACAGGCTTTTAAATGTGGTAGACAGGCTTTTTAAAAAAGTCATGAGTAAGCATGCGTCATCAGAAACAGTCGCTTTGTTGCTGAACAGTGTTCTTGCGTTGTTTCTAGGTCTTTTTTTTTTCTCTGGGATATGCAGCTCTGCAGGGAGCAGCTGTATATTCAGTCGCCGCTCACAAATCTACACCATGTCCAGACAGAAACGTGTGAATAGAAGACGCTCTGCTGTCTGATGCCTGTCTCTCCAGATAATGAATAGCTGCTTGTTCACTAGCTATCATTTTTCCCCGCTCAGGTGATGAGAGAGCAAAACCTGCAGAATACCAGGGCACGCGTACGCTCTTTCAACAGCGATAACACTCGTGGAGATTTGCCCCATATGTCACTCTTTTAAAGTTGTTTAGGGTTCCAATGACAGTAGATAGCAGAAACTGGATGGTGTGATAAAGCACACCTCTCATATTATCTTTTCCTGCCTTTGCCAACTGCTTTTTTTGACAAGATGGATAGATTATATAAGTAAAAATAGGCCTTATAGCTTGATATCCATAAAAAAGCAGCAGCTTCCCCTGAGATCTCCTTCTGAACTGAGCTGTTTTTATTGGGGGAATATAAAAAGCTTGATGTTGTTTTGAAGAAGTTCTAATTATGTATTTTGCATGCATATTTAGTGCACATTAACTGTTGATCTTTTTGGATTTTCTCACTGCTCGTTTTATGTTCTGGGTGTGTCGAAGTGAGCACCTTTGCCAGGACAACCAATTAAAAATGTATCTAAAGTTACATTTCCATTTCTGTTTTATTTTAGATACAGTATTTAAACATGTACACTGCCATTCAAAAGTTCGGAGTCATTCAGTTTTTTTTTTTTTTTGAAAGAAGTCGCTTATGCTCACCAAGGCTGCATTAATTTGATCAAAAACACAGTAATATTGTGAAATATTATTACAATTTAAGATAACAGGTTTTTAATGTATTTTAAAATGTAAATTATTCCTGTGATGGCAAAGCTGAATTTTCAGCTTTTGTAATTTGTCATTACTCCAGTGTTCAGTGTCATAGGATCCTTCAGAAATCATTCAGACATGCTGATTTATTCTATATTTTTGTGGAAACTGTGATACATTTTCTTTTTCAGAAATCTTTGATGAATAGAAAGTTCAAAAGACTGCATTGTTGTAAACCTCTGGGGTCTGAGGGGGTTTTGGAGCCTTTATCAGAGAATATTTGTTTTCGACATGACTTACTTCATTTAAAAGTAGACACTTCAAGCTTTCTGTAGATATATTTCTCATGTCTGTGTGTGAAGTATTCACAGAGTTCACGGAGACCGAGACGGCAGAAAGTGCACCTTGTTTGTTTTATTCATTTTACAAAACCACAGCATTTTGTTGTTATTGTGAGCAGGGCCGGATTTACCTCTTTTCATGACATAGGCAAAACTAATTTTTGGGCTCCCCTTCCCTATAATATAATAGGCCTAATATTACCACCCAAGCAAACAAAAATATTTCTTAATCAGTGGAAACCATTACAGTGTTTTCTATCGCAATAAGCACTTGCGTTCAGTCAATAAAAATCTAATGTAGTTCTTAATTTGTTTGAGAACTGAGAAAGACCGTTCCATATAGGCGCGGCGACGTGGCCACATAACCACTTCGGGAGTGCATTATTTCTCTAATAATTTTAACGGCCTGGAGTCACAACCACACATCAAGACATTGTTCAGATGATTTGTTTCAAGACATTTGAAATGACATGTTTCCGTCCTGAAATCTTGTGTGTGTTGAACTAATTTTTTACGCACCTCATCCCAAACATTCCGTTGCAAATTCCAAAACGTCATTTTAGAGCTAATAACGGAGGCTTGAGCCATTGATATGCAGGCTAATGCAGTTATTAATGCAGTATATTGCGGTTATTAGAGAGAGAGGGAGTGAGAGAGAGATTAAGTGCGTGTGAATACCTGCGTCTATGCGTCTCTCAGCAGTGTTCTTCTGAGAATCTTTAAGTTAAACTGCTTCAAGAACCTGGCTACTGAGAAATGTCATGTAGCTTTTCAGCTGCGAAACTATTTCATTGATAAATTCGCGGGGCAGCGCTGACAAGAAATTTCTGTTCGTGTGCAGGGTGGCGATATAGTGGTCTAAAGTGCAGTCAGCTTTTAGCAGTCATTCAAAGACAAGATGTAAGAGTGAATGGCATGTGGACCCAGCTGTGCGTTCTGCTTCAAATTCCCCGTCTGACTGGTGGAGAGACACGCACAGACTCTGACACTCGCCCATTTAGGTCCTCTGGGTGGACGTTTACTTGAACACACTGTCACTTCTCTGGAACTAGTTTGCTTGGGCTCCAGAGACTCCCAGTGCCTGTCAGAACATCTTCCTCTCTTCCCATATCTTTGAAGGTCAGCGGTCTGACAGCTTGAGTCCAAGTGCCAATGGACATCCTCCTCTGCAAGCTCGAAATTCTGCAGCCTGGCTTCTTAAAATCTGTAAGTGTGTGCGGATGTGCCCCTGTGCCATTGCTGCTTTAGAAGAGACACATTGTTTGTATCTGGCCTGTCTCTGTGTGCTGGGTTTTTCGTTTGTGAAGGCAGCTGGCATTAGTGTGCAGAATCTTTGTTTCTTGCTGTAGTTGATCCTGCAGTAGTACACTTGTTCCTGTAGCGTCCCTTCTAGCCAAGGAAGAACTTGTGGCAATACTGTTCAAAGATGCTGCATCGATACGGAGTAGCTATGGTCAGCCGCTATTGGTGAGAAGCTCCTGCAGACATTTCTGTCCTTGGTCTCTGACAAAATGTATGACGCATTCAGAGGGGTCATTTTCCAGCTACACTGAAACTGTTGAGTTTTTGTCATAGCTTTTGTCTCTTGATGAAAATATATTTTTAAATTTAGTCAGTGTTTGACCGTGTCATATTCATTCATTTAATTTAAAATATTTTTTTTCTATTTTAATATATTTTTAAATGTAATTTATTTCTTCTGATGGTAAAGATGAGTTTTCAGCAGCCATTACTGTCATTTCTGTCTACTGTCTCCAGTGTCACATGATCCTTCAGAAATTATTCTAATATTCTCATTTGGTGCTCAAGAAACATTTCTTATTATCAATGTTGAAAACATTTGGAAACCTTGATTACTTTAATCAGGATCCTTTGAATAGATCAAAAGAACAGAATTTATTTGAAATAGATTTTTTCTGTAGCAATGTCTTCTTTACAGTCACTTTTTATCAATTTAATGTGTCCTTGCAGAATAAAAGTATTAATTTAATATTAAAAATCTTAATGAAATCAACAGTTTGAATAGTAGTGTTTTTATATTTATATTTAGTTCACTATTTTAATACAGTTCTAATTTTTTTTCAAAGAATGCTTTATTTATTCATTTTAGTGTGTTGTTAAAAAAAGAGTGAATTTACCACATGACATGAAACATTCTGATTAGCTTAACTGAGGTTCATTTGAGCTTTCACATTTAATACAGAAAAAAAATTGGCATTCAATTTTATAGTTTACTGTTAGTTTACTGTTGTAACTTCACATCAAAGACAAAGTACAGATTTAATCCATTCTTTGCTAAATTTTTCAGTATTTCTCTATTTATGATCATTATCTAGACAGCAGCCATACAGTATCAAACTCCAGATGTTGACAATCCTTTGTTTT